ATCCGCCGCCTCGCCAAGCCGGTTGTCTTCCGGTAAGTGAGTTGGAGCACCAGGGTGGCCATCAGAATGGGTGACGCCCTCCCACTGGAGGAGGGATGCGGCAGCAGACTGGGTCGCCGGGGGGCTGGAAGCAACGCTCAGCCCAGGGCCTGCGGGTCAGGGCTCCCGCGAGCGAAATAAGTCTCACGGCCAACGTGGCCTCTCTGTGTAGCTCTTCCTGCAGCGCCAAAAACCACCCGCAGTCTACTACCCAGCGCGCAAGCGCAGTGGGCCGAGGAACCGGCGGTGTGAAGTTTCACACCTAGAAAGATGGAGGGTGAATGAGGCCTGCCTGGTTTAAGAGCCCTACTGGGAGGTAAAGGGCCAAACCCAGGAGGGAGAGGGCACAGAGCTGGAGCTCCCCTTCTGCTTGGTTCTCCCTGCCGAAGGTCTCCCAGGCCTCCACCCTGCTCTCTTTGGTCCTGTCCCTGGCTCCCTCAGTCGGCCTACCCCGCAGCAACCCCTTTCGGATCACCTATCTAGCCCCTGAGGCATCCTTCTGCTCTGTCCCCTACCTGATTTCTAAGGGGCAGGGATGGGGTGGTTTGAGGGCCAGTAGCTGCGGGTGGGGTCGGGGGAGGACAGAAGTCCCTGGCCTACCTGCAAGCCCCGCCCTCTGACCCTGCATTGGGACCCCTGCCCGCCTTAAACAGTGGAGGATTTGGTCTGAATTGTTTCTTCCTTGGCTGTTGTGGATCTTCCTGATTCTGGACCCAATCTTTAAAGGGGCTGGGGCCACCCTGGTCTTTCAAACCTAGTCATCATGAACTTGGACATGAGTGGGGCTGTTTACTTAAGATAATAGGAGCTCTAGACAAAATCAGGTCCTTCCATGGCTTCCTCTACTTGCTTATGCCTCTCTAGTCTGTGGGGTCGCTGGAGGTCTGGGTAGATGGGGGATCCTGAGAAATGTAAGGGGACGACGTCTTCTCTTTAAAATTCCTTTCTGGTCACCTGCACTCTCCTGGTAGTCAGAGTATCAGCTCACTAGTGTCTTATTCTTGTCCTTTTGGCCCAGAGTATGGCTCATGTGGATGAAGCAGCCCGCAGGTTGTCCCAAACTGGGACAAGTCTCTATGCAGTGCTGGAGCTTAAGAAGGGTGCCTCACCTGAAGAGATCAAAAAGGCCTACAGGTTCAGACCCCAGCTCTTTATTGAACCTTGAGATTTCCCCCACTTAATCCCTGTTATTTCTACCTTGATTTCTGACCCATTTGTAAACCCTCCCAAGAAGTCTTTTTTAAAAAATATTTTTATTAGTTGTTGATGAAATTTTTTATTTTATTTAATTATTTGTATATGGTGCTGAGAATCGAACCCAGTGCCTCACACATGCTAGACAAGCACTCTACCACCGAGCCACAATCCCAGCCTCCCCAAGAAATCTTTATTTGAGGGACAAAGGAGGCTATCAGCCTCTTTAACATGATATGAGAAAACTTTTAGACCTTGACTACTTACCTCCATCCTTCATACCACATTTCATGCATTCCTCTGCACTAGCTAGAGACCTATCCCTGCCATTCATTCTAACCTTCCCTTCCCAGCCATTCCCCATCTCCTCCCTACCCTCCTTTTGGGTATTGCCTGGGTAGGAGACTGGCCTTGCAGTATCATCCAGACAAGAATCCAGGGAACCCTCAAGCAGCAGAAGTCTTCAAAGAGATCAACACAGCCCATGCTATACTGAGCGACCCTAAGAAGCGGAAAATCTATGACAAGCATGGCTCATTGGGAATATACCTGTATGATCATTATGGGGAAGAAGGAGTCACATACTATTTTACACTGAATAGTTGTTGGTTCAAGGTACACAATTTCTTCCTAGTCTCTGTCCCTCTTCTCAGACAAAAGTTTCTATTGTCTCATTTTCTGGGTGTGAGGAGGAAGGAAGGAGGGGAGCTTAGGTGAAATACAGAAGAACTGCTGGATTGAGGGCCACCTTCTACCTTTTAGACACTTGTCCTCCTCTGTGCACTGCTCACTTGTTGTTGTTGCTGCTGCTGCTGCTGTTTTTGCTGTGGAGCCCTACAACCACCTTCTGAGGAGACAAGTAAGAGGAAATATCAACAGAATGTCCGTACTCAGCCTAGGAGAGCAGGTGAGGACCACAGGCTGGGACTGAGGTCAGATCTGGATCAGGAATGAAAGAAATGRTTGGGGGTAAGAAAGACCTGTGAAAATGGCAGGTCAGCCTCTAAATATGGCAGTTTCAAGTCTGGAATTGAGGCAAAGTGAAGAAAGGGAAGGCATTTGATATTTTTCTGTGGACCTCATGCCACAGACTGACAGCTTGAATATAATGTTGGCCTCTCCTGACTGTTAAGCTAAGGAATGAGGTGGGAGAACAATAGCTGAGGACAGGTTCGAGGTTGCAGTTTATTGTATCTGCTCAAAAGAAAGATGAGCTGAGGTTGTAACACTTGTGCAAAAATGAAGAATGATATGTCTGAGATGATTCCTACCCCCAATTGTTAAAACTTTAAAATGGTGGATTGGCTGAGGTTTACACCAGTGCCACCTTGTGATGCTAATGAGTAACTGCAAGGTAGTGGTTTTCTCATCTGTATATTAAAAAATCGTTAATAGGAGGGCACAGTGAAGCACCTCTATAATCCCAGCAGCTCAGGAGACTGAGGYAGGAGGATCACAAGTTCAAAGCCAGCCTCAGCAAAAGATAGGTGCTAAGCAACTCAGTGAGATCCTGTCTCTAAATAAAATATAAAATAAGGCTGGGGTTGTGGCTCAGTGGTCAAGTGCCCCTGAGTTCAATCCCCTGTACCAAAAAAAAAAAAAAAAAAAAAAACCACCCCAAAAATGTTTACATGTATAAATATGTGTGTAATTCCATCATAGGAGCAAGAAATAGCTCTTCAGATGATGACGATAGTGATGATTAATAAAATATGAAGAAGATTGAGGTATGTACACTGAAAAGCAGCAATAATTAAAGAAGAAAAGCGTATAAGCTAACTTGAGATGAGTCCTTGGTAGAAAGTTTATATCTTTATAGCATGGGCTCCAGGTGTTTATATCCTTACATAGAGGGGTTGCTTTAAATTCTGCATGATTTTTCTTTGTGATTAATAARGTGCCAACTTCTTCTGCCATTAGGTGCTGGCCCAGTTGAGGGTGCCCTCTGCTACCCAGTCCACTGGACATTGAAGAGAGGAGCAAGTAGCCCTGTCCTGATRTTGACCCCAATTTGACTCCTCTTATAAGAACCTCTACATTAAAAGCATTGATAATGTCCATCCCAGTAAGAACACCATCGCTGCCCTCTATGGTACCACTAACTCTGGCCATATGGGGTCTCTCAGCTACTCTTCATTTTAGCCCCAGTCCTACTTTTAATCTGTGAGAGAGCAGTCCTCCCTTCCCTACCTGTATGAGGTCTCAGGCAGTGATGGCAGAATTTTCCTGAGGATTCTTTTCCCCGGTGTCTGCCTTGGCATTTAAGCCAATGTCAGCCAGGACCCTGAACCACTTGCAGCATCTCCACCAAGATTCTGATAGTAGAGCATGGTGGGTCCTATTCCTGGAGCTGCTGCACCAGTTAATCCTCCTTTGCTGCAACTCGTAGCATCAATCAGCCTCATTTCTAAGCCAATACATTTCTCTGAGGCTGGTGCCCATACCATGGGTGTTGCAGCCTCATCTATGCCACCAAAAGTCAACTTGGGAAACACATGGGTGCATTTGAGACTTATGGGTAGCCATCCCATCACGGATTCTCCTTGACATCACTTACCAGCACAGCAGCCATTGTTAGCCCTGGTTCATGGGGTTGACTGCAGTCCCCATGACAGTGCCTGCTTGCCTCTGTCCTTCACCAAATCTTGTGCATCTTATACATTTTGTTCTTAAATCAGGGACTGAAACATGATGGGAAAAGCTTGTGCTTTACAATTGTTCCTTCCCCACTCTTGCCTCTTTGGCATCCTCTCCACATCATTTATTTCTCATCCATGCAGGGTCAGGGGYGAGGCACTTCTCTTCTCTTCTCTCCCTTACTGGGGAATATCAGTAAGGGAATATTAGTAAATAAAAGAACTTTTGTGCAATCCCAGTGCATGTGTTGGGCCCGAAAAAAGACAAGTTGTGTTGTAATAGAGAAAACGGCCAATTGCTGAAAAAGACAAGACCGGTGCTTGCATCTGGGATGAGCCCGGCATGGGAAGTAGAGTCCAGGACAGCGGTGGAGTTGGGGCCAAAGTTTCCCAGAACCTAGTGACTCCRACTTCGTCAGAGCTCTAAGATTTCCCCGGATACTGATTCCCTGGTGCCCAAAATAGGTCCCTGGCATTCGAATCTCCCAGCTTCTCCCAGTTTCCAAGCAAATTTGGTCTTTGGAGTGGCCTTAGTGACGTGTTTGTGGACCAGAATCACACTTCTCCAGGGGCATGCTCATATGACCTGGAGCAGCAGCCACCTCTAGCCTCTGTAGCTGCTTTCCTAGGGTGACATAAAAAAAGGGCTGGGCAAGAACAATCACAGGCCTGAAGTTTGGGACAAGAGGCTATCTCCCTAGTCTCTGGTGCCTCTCTTCTGAATCACACAGTCTTGCGGAGGAGTGCCAGGGTCACTGGCTAAGCCTGAGGAGAAGACTGTAGATCCAGCCAGGTCTTTCCTYCCACCCTGAGCCATGTGTGGTGCTTCTCCCACAACCTGATTTAGAGACTGCCACTGACTGTATGAAGAGGCCATGCCAGAGCATAGGGGTCCAGGGCTCACAGGAGCCTTCACAGCGAGAGCCAGTGAGGAACCCACACCTTTGCTGGTCACTACGTATCAGTAGTGACACTTGCCCCGGTTGTTGCTCCAGGGAGTCACCCATTCCTGAGTGAGTCAGGGTCACTTACTCTGCTGACAGCTGTGGCTCGCCTTACATGAGCTAAATTGGGAGTTGGAATGTCACACAGATGCCCCTTGTCTCCCCACCCCCACGATAATATTAATCTCCTCTCTGGGGAGCAAGGGACAAACAGTGCTGCCCAGAGTGAACCAGAGTGGTTTGGGGAACAAAAGGAGAATCGCCCAGGGAGGGAAGGATAAAGCTACATGTGCCTGGCAAGGACACCAAGCAAAGAGCAGACGTGTCTGGAGACAGCCAGGGCAGGACGAGTTTCAGAGGAAGGGACAGAAGATAGAGCAGCACTATTTTAAGAGGGAGCACCAGAAGGGAGCCTAAGAACCCACAGATAGTCTGAGGTGAACAAGGAGGGTCCAGAGGCAGTAGAGAAGGCCAGGACCAGGGCCKCAGCCAGGGCCAGCAGAGCACTGAGGGGATGAACTTCACCGTGGGCTTTAAGCCGCTGCTCGGGGATGCGCACAGCATGGACAGCCTGGAGAAGCAGCTCATCTGCCCCATCTGCCTGGAGATGTTCTCCAAGCCCGTGGTGATCCTGCCCTGCCAGCACAACCTGTGCCGCAAGTGCGCCAATGATGTCTTCCAGGTGGGCTCAGGGCAGGGGTGGTGAGGAACCCCAGAGGGTGCTGGGCAGAGTGCTCTGGGAGGTGGGTGGGGCCACGGTGGCTAGGAGCAGAAGAGCTGGGGTCCTAGGATCCCAAAGTAAGCATGAGTCAGCATTTGCCCTGCAGGCTGGCAAGCATAGCCTGTGCCACAGTGGCTAGAAGGCTGGCATCCACAGGGGACAGCGTGCCCAGCACAAACTGGATGGAGGTGGTCTCACACTGGCCTCTGTGGGAGCCGCACTAAACTCTGCATTCAGTTTGGGGTTTCAGATTTCGAGATCCTTGTGGAAACTCCAGAGAAGAAATCAATGAAATGCTGAAACATTCAGAATGAAATAATAAATCCTGTGATGAAGCCCCAAATGACACCAGAATTACAGTAAAGCCCAAAGCATCAGTTTTGGGGGACAAAGTTTGACCTAATGACAGGATACTGGGATTTCTCCCCAACTTCAGCTCACACCTGTGATCCTTCTAGACTGTTCAGTAAAGAGGCCTAGAGGCTAACAGCTATTGAGGTCAAGACTTACCACACAGACAGAAGGCAGAGAAGAAATTCCCCAAAGTGCAGCCAGTTTTGGTCCATCTTTGGTCATAGAGCATAGTTGAGCAAAGTCACAGATATCATTTTGGTACTGATTTCAAAAATAAAAGCAGCATATACCAGAATGGTTTATAAATGGAGGTTCAAGTACAGATCAGAGGTTGGGGAGAGTGATGGGCAGTTTGTGTGTGTGTGTGTGTGTGTGTGTGTGTGTGTGTGTGTGTGTGTGTGTAGATGCATGGGTACACCCAAAACCTTGAAAATGAAATGAAAATTCTTATCTAGATAAGAGCCATTTGGCTTAGTATGCATTTCAGTGATAAAAGCATCATTAATAAGTCTTCAATATTGTTAGTATGAGGAAATGTGCCAAGCACACAAGTAATTTATTTCTTTTTCTTTTTCTTTTTTTGTGTGTATATTGTGAGTTGAATTCAGGGCCTCAAGCATGCTCTATCATTGAGCTACACTCTAACCCCAACACAAATGATTTTTTTTTTTGTATCAGAGATTGAACTCAGGGGCACTTAACCACTGAGCCACACACACACAGCCCTTTTTATTTATTCACTTATTTTTATTTATTTTTTGAGACAGGTTCTCATTAAGTTGCATAGGGCCTCYCTAAGTTGCTGAGGCTGCTCTCAAACTTGCAACCCTCTTTTCTCAGCCTCCCAAGTTGTTGAGATCACAGGTGTGTGAAGTGATTTTTTTTAATTTATTTTTTAATTTTAGATGGACACAATATATTTTTTATTTTTATATGGTAGCTGAGGATCGAACCCAGTGCCCCATGCATGCTAGGCGAGCGCTCTACCTCTGAGCCACAACCCCAGCCCAACCCAAGTGATTTTTAACTTAACTAAGAAAATACTTATCTTTTAGGTTCCTTGGGGCAGATGTTTGGGGGAAAAAAATGGAATAACTAAACCAGGCCATCACACATTATTGCCATCTCCACTGGGTGTCCACAAACCTGAAGTTTCTCCTGCTATCTTCCTGCTGAGACCCCTTCCCATCTCCTTTTATTCTGAGTGTTCAAATGTGGCTCCAGAGCCATGCCTTTCCCTCTCTGGGGGCCTAGACTGAATGCTATGCCCCCTCACCCCAGGCTTCAAGTCTTGTCCACCACCTTGGTATTTCCTTTGGTCTAACTAACTCTCCCAGGCTGAGATGCCTGGGAAGGAATTGCAGAAAGACTTTGCCACCCTTTCTTAGGAATTTATAGTGAAATATCCTCTCTTCTAATGAACCTGAAATATATAAATCAAAGAGAAGTTTGCAAAGTTAAGTTAACATGTCCTTTAAAAAACTGGCCAGCATGTTAAAATACAAATCATACAGTGTTATCTGACAGTAGGACCCATGAAAAGAACCTGTATACAGAGGCAAGAAGAAGTTGAAGTGTCCCCCATTATTGGAGGCAATCCTCTGTATACAGGAGCACTGTTTGGGTTCCAAGAAGCTCTAGAATACTGATATGGGCCCAGAGAGACTCGGAGATGGTCTGGGTCAAACCCTATGCAATATCAGGACACATTGGTTTGCTTCTGTAGTCCCAGCTACTTGGGAGGCTGAGGTGGGAGAATTGCTTGAGCCTAAGAGTATGAGGCCAGCTTGGAAAACACAGCAAGACARTGGCTCAAAACCAAACAACCAAACAACCAACAAGCAAGCAAACAAAACTTGTGCTGACTCTTTGGGAAGTAACATGATTCCCAGGACTCAGGAATGGTTYTATGGGTCTGGAGTGGTATACAGCATTGGAAGTGCAGAGCACCCCTGGACCCTCCACAGAGAGCAGAGAACATCTGCCTTCCTTGCTGCTTTATTTGGGAGGGCTTGGGGGAGGCTGACCCAGTTACCCAGCTGCAACTATGTATATGCCTCCTGGCAGAACTCAGCAGATCTCTGTCTGAAAGATGAGCATATTTAGTTTTTTCACACATTGCCTCCACRTTTTGACAACTCCAGGCATAATCAGATTGTTTTCTAAGTATGGCGACAAGAATAGGACTTTGAGTTCCTCTATCTTCAAACCACTTAGGAAKAAAACCTTTAGAACATTGCCTAGAAAGTTAACAGTTATGAAAGTGACACCAGTACACCATATTTAAACTTTCATATGTACATTTCTTCCAAGCACCATAGGAGTTTATATCATGAAAAATGAATCTGCTACTTACCTTAGCCCCTCAGTTCTCTTCACCAGATAGAAGCAACCATTACCAACTTTCTTGGGAATCCTTCCAGGAAATGTTCACACTTAGGTCCATGTTTGCACATATAAACATACTTACACTGGACTAATGGCCTTGTTCACTTTGCCATGCTTGTTCCATAACCACACATTCAGCTCTCTGCTTTCCTCTTTTTTWAATATTTTTTTAGTTGCAGATGGATAAAATACCTTTATTTATTTGTTTATTCATTTTTTATGTGGTGCCAGGGATCAAAGCCAGTGCCTCATGCAGGCTAGGCAAGTGCTCTACCACTGAGCCCCAGCCCCAGCCCTCTGCTTTCCTCTTGAATAGTGGTCTAATGTTCCATTGCAATGAGTGGACCACAGTCTATCTAATCCATCCTCTAGAGCCTGTAGGTGGTTTTCAGTTTTTGCTGGGCTAAAAACTTCTATGATGGACAACAAATAGGAATTGGGGGGAAATGTGACCTTGTAAAATGAGGTTTGCTAGACAGCCAGGAAGAAAACTTTGAATAAAATATTTAGTTGAAAGTGTTGAACAGGATTAAGGATTTGGGAGAAAATCAGCCATAATCCCCCTTTAACCAATCTAATTTTCTTCTTCTCCTCCTTCTCCTTCTCCTTCTCCTTCTTCTTCCATATTACTTTCAAGTCCTTATCCCCACACAATATTTTCACATAGTTGCCATTATAATGTGACTACTTCTCTTTAGAGCTGTAACACATCTCTCTTTCTCCCTGAACTGAAACAGAAAACAGTAAAATATGACATTATCGCTCTCTAATTTCTCCCTCCCTCTTTCTCTGCACTTGCGCCCACTCAGCCACTGAGAATTTTGACTACAGCAAAGCTGTTGGTGTGGGAATTTGACACAAACATCTTCCCATGTGTTTCTGTATTTGTAAACTCTATTCSCGTCTGAACTACTTTAAAGCAAGCCTTCAGTTTATTTTTGTATCTGCCCCCACTTTACTGTGGGCACTTACTTGTTTGAGCTGCAACCTGTTGTAGCTCAGCAGAAGGTCTTGTAAGAAGGTTGCAGCTTTTATGGAGGAGGTTCTGCTACAGAGGGACTTGCAGAGAGGAATAGCAATGAAGAGACCTCCTTCTCCAGAAAAGGGTGGTCCGACAGAGAGGAGACCTTGGTTTCACTCCAGTCCTATTCCAGCTMTCAGTTAATTGTCTGGACCTGGTGTCACCAGGTAGAAGCTTCCGGTGAAAATCCCAGCAGCCTGTCTCCTGGATCCCACGTACCTGCTGCCCAGGTCACTAGAACTTCTTAGCTCTGCCTTGGGCAGGTCTCTTGTATGAGAAACTGGTTCACCAAAATTTTGTAGTTGTGTTAACCCACTAGCAGTGCTCTAACTTCTGTAGGGAAGAAGCTTGGTTTCATGGGAACAAAAACCTAGACTGAGGTTTAGCACTCCTGGCACCACTGTCATTGGCAATTTGACACATGACACAAAGCAAGAGGCTAGCTGGGCACAGTGGCATACACCTGCAATCCCTGCTACACAGGAAACTGAGGCAGGAGGATTATAAGTTCAAGGTCAGCCTGGGCAATGTAGTGAGACCCTGTCTCAAAATAAAAAGGGCTTGGGCTGGGGTTGTGGCTCAGTGGTAGAGCACTTGCCTAGCATGTATGAGGCACTGGGTTCAATTCTCAGTACAGCATATAAATAAATGAGTAAAATAAAGGTTCATCAACATCTAAATTTTTTTTTAAATAAAATAAAAAGGGCTCAGTGGTAGAGTACCCCTGGGTTTGATGTCCAGTACAAAATACAAAGAATAGCCTGTTTACACATCTTTAGATTAAAAGGGTATTTTAAAAATGATTTTAACACCCTTGTAATTCTACCAATCTGCTTTCACAAATTCAAGAAATATGATTTTTTTAAAGGATTTTCCATTCTGTCCCCAGCATTCCCACTTGGCCTCCTCTTCTGCTTCTCTGTGGTCCGTTTGGTAGCAGGGCTCAGTTTGTCACCCCGTGAAGGGGCAGGGGCTCTTCAGTCATGGCTAGCCCTCTTCTCAAAATCCCTGTTAAAGCTGCTGCTCAGCTTTTACTGAAACCTGGATTTTTCCAAGGCTTTGCAACTTTTCTCCAAATGTCTGGACTTCTGCCCACCACATTCCTGTAGTTTCTCCAGTGTGTTCTGAGGTCTGACTCACAGAACCTGCCTGGTCCACCATTCCTCACTGGCAGATCATCAGGTTGGCCTTGCATCCT